AATTGCACAGTTCAAAGCACTATCAAAAGGAAAACTCTGCGTTACTTCATCGTCCTGATATTCTTGAAGCTCTTCTCCAGCCGAAAGATCTGTGCCTGCACGTGAGCCATGAGGCGAATGGGTCTCCTGCTCTACATTCGAACCTGACAGGAAAGGAACATCGCCAAAAAGCTCAGCAAGGTCATCATCAATCACTATTGAAGCATCATCTCCTCCAGACGTCATCACCAGACCAAGACCCCCATGGCTCAAATTTCGGCCGACAGAAAAAGGAGCCCACCCACCCAACCCTTAAGCCCAAATGTTACACATTCAAGAATTGCCACCCGATCCTGACGTCTCTTAAACGATGTCGTGACAAATCGATCGTTTTCAACGAGCTGCTTCGTCACGTTACGTTTGGTGGCAAACAAATCAGCAAGCACACTATTTTCACGCGGACTCTGGGGTCTGATCACTTCTCGGCCCCACTAAATTGAGGCAGACCCCAGAGTCGCTTTCCACTGGTGTAAAAATTCGAAAAAGCTTTCTTTTGCATCAGGAGATCCACACGTCTCTGGTCGAAGGAAAGGATGTTCCACACATCGAGAAGGGAAATCACTTCAGTCGGAACCCTGGCAAACCAAAACTGTGAAGGTCGCTCAGATTCAAGCCTCAGCTGGAGGTGAATCAATGCAAGGGCGGCTTGACCTTGTGCGGATCCTTTGATGAGGGCAAATCTTACAGCATCGTTGTCTCCAAAGTGCACAGTGAGCCGCCGAAAAACTATATCACTCCAGAAATGAAACGAGTAAACTGCAGCAAGAAGCTCTAACTCATAAATAATGGTGTCCTTTTTTAAAGCTCCAAAGGCATCACAGAGTTCAGAGTTCAGGGGAAGCGAAAACCAAGACATACAGGTTCCATCTTCATCAACCAGAACTGCACCCAGCCCTCCTGTGCGGTCCACAGGTTCATAGGCTGCGTCTGTGAAAAGGAAACACTGCTGCAGCGGTTCACAATCAATCGCTTTGGGTTTGCTGGTCAGTAACCTTGTCTTCATCCAGGCCAATGCTTCAACCAAGGACGTGCTCAACTCCAGCTGTGTTCCATATGCATGTTCAACGATCCTGTTGAGGACCAGTTTACCAAGCCTTCCATGGACTTGGCTGTCAGCGAAACCCAAGCGCCCCCGTAGCACCAGCGATTCATGTCGGCTCATGCGCTTGTCATTGAGCACTTTTTCGATGTACTCCACGAGCTCCACCTTCCTTTGCTCAGTATTGCCTATGCATAGCACCCGATCTTTTGATTTGCTCAAGTCAAACTCGACACCTAAAGCTTTGCAGGTCACATGAAAATCAGTTGCCTTCTTTCCGTCTTTTGCGAACTCCCAACCCGTCAGAAGAAAAACCATTTCCATGCCGTGGCTAGCAGAAGTCTGATTAGCACTGCGAGAAACCAGGATAAAGTCGTCATAGAAGTTCGTGTTCAAGAGAAAGAGGCCGCGAGCGGCAATGCTATGCAGGGCTCTAGCGATGCGCAAAAAGTTGTACACACTATGAGTAGCACCGAAAGGAAGAGTTTTCATCCTATAAATCTCAGCCCTATCCAACTCATGGTTGTAGATGCAAAAGTATGCAAACCTCAGGTGCCTGCTGCAGACAGGCACCTGCCTATATGCACTCTTAAGATCATAGGTCTTGGCGAGCAGCTCCGAGCTGGACCCGATCGCTGCACACTTACTAAAGAACTCTTTCATAAGCGCAGCAAAAGTGTCCACCATGTGCAAATCGATCTTGTTGTGCGTTGTTGTACATTCATTGATTCCACTGATGGAATAATCATCAATCAGTCTGATCTTTGCACCTTGCCTCAGAGGGAATCGACGGGAAATAACTGCATCCTTTTCAAGGTCACCAATCTGGAAAGGACCTTCGGCCCAGCCTTTCGCCAATTCAGTTCTGGTCTCCTCCAGGACAGCACGGTCCAGCTCCAGGTCACCACACGACGCAGACATCTTCAAAATGGCTTGATTCCTCCGAGCTGCACCAGCCTTGAGTTGGGCCAGTGTGGCCATGCATGGTTTGTACTGTTCTTGGAAGACCGGGCAGGCCTCGACTTCACCAACTAAAGTAGAGCCCTTGCGCAGGATATCAACTACACCCAGATCGTTGTACCCAATGTCTCGAAGTATCTCTTCAGTCAAAAGCAACCTCTTGTTCATAGTGTTCTGCTGGACATGCGTCGGTCTTTTGGCCAGGTCCTCGGTCTCGAGAGCGGCCAACTCTGTAGCACGTGCCAGCCACTTTCTGCACCACGCCATCCTATAGTTGGCCATCTGTTGTTCTGTAAACTCGAGTTGTTTGTTCACTGCGATTGCTAAATCTTCTGAAAGGTTGAACTCACCCAACATTGGATGCCCCACCTCACAAGCTTTTCTGATGAATGATTCGCAAGTCCATGGTAGTCCAAAGACCACTCCAAAGCTCTCTTCTCCCCGACGCCTCTTCTGGGATTCAGAGCCGCTCTCCTGCACCATGACTTCCCCCTCTGAAAGTTGGGGCAGGAGCGGATAAGATCGAAGGAAACGTGCACCCTTAGGGATGGTCACACCCTGGCCGTCCAAGGTGTGGGCGTCAAAAGGGCGGGGCAATTTACTCATCAAATTGCAAGGAATCTCAGAAATAGAGGACACTGCAAAAACACCTGTTGTCGCGAAGTCGGGAACCACTTGTGGCAATTTAGAACCTCTGGGTTGACGACCGGCAGAAATTTGTGCAGTCTGTGCCAAGTGGAGAGGATGAGTTTGAAGTTCCTGCAAGTGAGTAGGAGGAAGAACTGCTCCATGTCGATGCAACGCTTGTACAACACACTGTAAAATTGCCAAGCGCAACTGTTTGGGATACTTAGATTCCAAGCTAGTGGCCCAAACACGCTTCCCTTCTTGGTCGATGGCGAATCGCCACGGCTCATGCTCATGCGAATTGCCACACCGTGCAGCCAGTTGCAGTAGTTCTTTGAAGTTGCCAACCAGCCGTGTCCACTTGGGCCTCGAGCCCCCGTACATGCAAACCTGGAAATCAACTATGACCAGTTCTACGGTTCGCCTTAGGCGGAGAAACCAATCTGTGAGCCAGAAAAACGAATTTGTAGGGTTCTCCATTGTGACCAGTACCCCTTTTGCTGCCGCCATTGCAAACAATGTGCAACTGTAGGAGAAAAGGTCATTTGCAATCAAAACTCTGGTTGTATCCTGTTCAGACAGGTTTGGAAGCCCGTGAGGACAGTCATCGGACCGCAGAGGTTTTGGATCGCTCCAATGGCGTTGAATGTTTCTTGCACGACTTGCGGTACCACAAACTGGTGCAAGGTGTAACCAGCAAAATAAATCAGATTGCATCCACTCTTCAAGCAATGCTCTGTCTTCCTGGTTTCGCAAATCAAGTTGCACAATTGTACTGTACGCTCCTGTTTTGCGAATTTTGTCAACTGCCAGGCTCCCGACAAGGCCACACTGCTTAGCAGTGGCACACAAGATTCCAAAGCCAGCGAAGACCTCTATCATGAAAAGCTGCTCAACATGAATTCCTTGAAACTTGCACTGCGTTGATCGACCGTGATTCGGTCACTTGCCATGCTTTGTCAATGGGTGACTTCCTTGACACTTGGGCTCACAGCACAAGTGCCATCCCTTAGGGCATCGTTCACCATCTTTGACTGTCTTCGAATGTGCACAACCTGCAGCCGTATTGTAGCCAAAGCACAATGGTTCACCTGTCGAAGTCTTGAACCATTTTCCACGAAGCTCCTGGGGCATGGCAGGAGCCACACCACGACCTTTACCTTTGCTCTTACCTTTGCCCTTGTCATGACCTTTGTCACCACCCTTGTGGGTGTTGTATGGCTGCCATCGCCATGAACTCGACTCTGGCTGCGAAGCTGCCGGCTTGGTGATTGGTGCCAAATACAACGTGATGTTCGGGTCAGATCGCAGCTTCAACAACTCTTCCCCAAGGGGAAAGGTCCCATCAGCTCTTTGCCTCACTGAAGTCAAGGAACTCGCGAGCCTGGTCCAAGCTGCTCTGTCACATTGAATGAGTTGAGCCAGTGTAGGCCTATGGTAACCCGGTGGGGCTTCACGATGAAGCGCTTCAACCAAAAATGTCATCCACTCGTTGTGTTGGGCAAAGCTCATCAAATTTGCAAACTGTAATGCAAGGGCTCTACGCTGCATTGCGTAGTGCAGCTTCAACTCTGTGTCTGTGGCAGAAGTGAGTTTGTCGTTGGCATTCTTCAGAATGAGCGAACCCTTTTCCAAGCTTAGTTCCCTGCTTTCTTTCTTTCCTTGTACCTCCACTGCTCGACTAATGCACGCTGCTGGTTCCAGATAGCGCACAACGTTCTGGTCATGCATTGCTGAGGCTTTGTCAAGTAGCACATGGGCAGGGTCCATCTCTCCTGTGATGTAAATGCCAGTGAGGGCCGCCTGCAGAGCGGCCATTCGTGTGGTACGCTCCGCATGCGCCACTTTTCTTGGCGCTCCTTCTTCGTGGTGTTCAAGACCCTGCCTCAATACTGCCACAACAAAGGTTTGGGCCTCAAAGACCAGCCGCTTGATGCAGCTACTCTCCTGTAGAGATGGAGCACTGCCTGTAAGCCCCTGCAGAAAATTCGTCACTTCATCATTGGAGATTGTTTGATTAGGCTGTGTGATGGCAAATGCTAAATGAGATAGCGTGCGTACTCCACCATTCTTCAAGGCTGTCTTCACAGCATCAGACAGGCCTAACTCGGTCAGTCGAGACTCAAAATGAGCCTCGCTATCCACAACGCTCGACATCTCCGCGGGTTGCAAAACGACAAAACAAAAGTTCGGAATTACATTCGATTAGATGCAAAGATAAGCTGCCTAACAAAGCGTGAAAAGAAGTTGACGGCCATGAACTCATGTCTCATGAAATGCTCCTTTGAGCCTCATTCAAACGCGTGCATGGCTTTCCATGAAACACGCACTTGCCAGCTTTCTGGAAACAATTCTGCGCTCTTAAGCATAACCACCTTGAAGTGACTCTGTGCTCTTAAGCATAAACAAGGACACTGCGCCCAACAAAGGTTTTTGACCACTCCGGCAACACACTCAGCGCCTTATCCTTTTCAAGGCGGAATCAAGATGCTCTATAGCATCAGCTCGTGAACGAATCCTCCCCTCCGCTCGTGGAAAACAGTTCCAACACTTGGGGAGGCGTACATGAATCTCAGATTCAAGCTTCTTGAAATTGCTGTTCAACTTGCGTCCACAATCGGTGCACTCCTTGCCTCGACGGGCTCGATGTACACGTGAAGTTTTCACATGCTTGTAAAATTCAACTCCTTCAGGAACAAATTCAGTGAAACAAACTGGATCCCTTTTGGATTGCAAAGACTCTGTAGAAGAACTCTCACTTGGTGAGCTTTCATCACTTTCGCTTGAGCTATCGATTTGGACAACTCCTTCTTTCACTGCCTCTTCTCCGAACAGGCTGATGTCACATGCAAAACGTTCAAGGTTTTCAAGATTTTCTTGCTCTTCTTTTGCGCTTTCAAAATCTTCAACAACATTAACTACTTCAACTGCATGGTCCAGGGCCCCGACTTCTGACGTTTGCACATCTGGCTCCTGTTGAGCCGGTGCATGAGGAACTGGAGTAAAAACATTGGGCCTCGGCGTTACTGGTCTCGGTGTGGTTGCCAGAAGGGTACCTTGTGCAGCCACCTCTTCCAGCGTCAAGCCAATGCGAACACTCTTCAAAAGCATCTGAAGTTGACGAAGGGGTCTAACCTGAAGCTCACGCGAATAGACAATATCACTTCCATGTAGAGCCGTGCTGTGATGTCCTAAAACAGCTCTCACTTCCTTGTCCAGGCCAGCTCTTGCACTCCAGTTCAACAATGTCGCTTTCAAAGAGTGACAACGAACTTTCTCTGAATCCTGGGTCACGGCCAATAGCAATCTAAGCCATTTTGCAGCCTCCTGGGTCTCAAAGGCCGAGCACAAAAGCCACCACCTGCTTTTGGAGCGGGAAGAAAAGGTCCTAAAGGCACTTGTTGAATATTCAATCCAACCAAAGAATACACCTGCAGAAGGGTAGAGATCCAATCTTCGCTCACGACGCCCTCCCAAGGAACAACTAATGGAAGGTACTGCTCACGCCTCAAGCCAACCGCCGATGTCTTGTGTTCACGTGTGTAAAGCACCAATGCTCCATTCCTTTTACCTTCAACTTCAACATGGTGAACAAAGCGAAGATCGGACCACCTTGCCCGACCATACACGCAGAGCAACATAGTACCAGCACCCAAACGATCAATGGGGTTAGTCCCCAGTGACAAAATCTCATGCAGTCGCATCAAATGGCACATCTCTAAAATAGGAGCCTGAACTGTCGGTCCCTTCTCCCTCTTCTCAATGGCTGCAAAACCAAGGAGACGACCAGAATGCAATACCTCGTCGCATCCATGAAGGCCTATGGTGAACTTGCAAAACCTGACAGTTTCCAGAAAAGATGCAGCTGTCGTGAAACCTCTCTGCTTTGCCTCCCGCTCCACTCGAAGGAATCTGAAGAACTGCCAAACATCAGACTCAACCAATGGTAATGGATGGACATGGACATCCCTGCTCTCAAATTCATTGAAATGCCAGGTCAGGAACTTGCGAAGAGTTGAGGCTCGCTTCAAAATAGTACTTGGACTTTTAGTTCCAAAACAGGCTTTTAAGGTCTCCACCGCCTCCTGTCCACTGGGATCCTGACAAAGGCCTTGACGTACAAGCAAGCCCACATCTGAAGCTTCCCAATGAGTGGAAAGCATGTCCATCCACTTCCCACAAGCCAGTTCCAGTTTTTCGCGTTTCTCTTCAAAATAATCTAAATCGCGTGTGTCAGAAACAGCGTGAATGTAACAGACACCAGTTTGTAAAGTGAAAGAAACACGATCAGACTCGATTGCTGCTTCTGGAGTATCACCTCGAAGAGCAGGCTGATAAAAAGGCTGAATGTTCGGAAGCCTTGGGCTGCGATCAACCTGAAAAATATCAGCACAAGCCCCAACCTCCCACGGGAGTAGAAGTGAATCGTCTGTAGATCTGTATCGACTGTACGATGCAGCAATCATACCATTCCAAAGTGGTTGAGGAATAATTGCACAGTTCAAAGCACTATCAAAAGGAAAACTCTGCGTTACTTCATCGTCCTGATATTCTTGAAGCTCTTCTCCAGCCGAAAGATCTGTGCCTGCACGTGAGCCATGAGGCGAATGGGTCTCCTGCTCTACATTCGAACCTGACAGGAAAGGAACATCGCCAAAAAGCTCAGCAAGGTCATCATCAATCACTATTGAAGCATCATCTCCTCCAGACGTCATCACCAGACCAAGACCCCCATGGCTCAAATTTCGGCCGACAGAAAAAGGAGCCCACCCACCCAACCCTTAAGCCCAAATGTTACACATTCAAGAATTGCCACCCGATCCTGACGTCTCTTAAACGATGTCGTGACAAATCGATCGTTTTCAACGAGCTGCTTCGTCACGTTACGTTTGGTGGCAAACAAATCAGCAAGCACACTATTTTCACGCGGACTCTGGGGTCTGATCACTTCTCGGCCCCACTAAATTGAGGCAGACCCCAGAGTCGCTTTCCACTGGTGTAAAAATTCGAAAAAGCTTTCTTTTGCATCAGGAGATCCACACGTCTCTGGTCGAAGGA